GGTACCTGTCGAGCCAATCGGACGGTCTCCTCCTTCAGTCCATCGACGGGACGAGCCGCATTGGTGCGCTCGGTATTAAACCAGAGGAGCCCAGACCATCGATCGGGTCTGATTCTCACTTACGATTCGGTCCAGTTACCTGGTATTTTATTTCAGGTTTTTTTGCACCTAAATTCCTGAGCAAAGCAGGCCTCCTGTGTCCTCTTTGTCTGTGATCAGTCAGGAGCCACAATCCCCTCGCCTCAGACGGTGAGCTGGGCACATCTCACTCTTTTCTCCTTTCTAGAACATTCTGTCCCAGACAGGAATTAGCTGGTCCTTGGAACTGGGGTGGGACTCACTCATAAAGCAGCTGGGATCCAGGCTGGGGGAGGAGGGGGCTCTGACGACGCCTTTTCGGTCTGTTCCTATTCTTTGCTTCTTTTTGCCCTTATCGTCGTCATTCTATATTTTCCTAGGAATTTATCTCCCTCCTTTAGGTTCTCGAGTTTATTCGTTCGTCAGTGCTCCCAGGTATCCTGTTCCTGACGCCCCCTCTGCCCACTGCCCCCACCGCGGCCACTGTGTGAGCCCCATTTGAGAGTATACCAAACTTGCCTGGATTTGACCCTGGAACCCTCAGCTCCTGCCCAGGACACCCTTTCTGAGGCTTCTGAGGGGACGCGCTTAAGGCCAGCCAGGGCCGGGTCGCTTGGCCCAACCACCCTTTTCCAGCTGCATTGGTGGGGTGTCCTGGCTGGAGGAAGTTGCAGGGGGTTCTCTTCTATTGCCAGAAACCCCAGCCCCTACCCCATCCAATACTGTTTTCTAGGGCCCTCTCACTGTGTGGCAGGAGCCCCAAACCTTCCTGGGGTGGGCAGACCTGTGAGGCCTCAGGGGAAGGCATACTGGGGGAGTTCCCATAGCTGCCAGCTCACTGGGGGGCCCTGCTCATCTGGGGGGCCAGCAGGCACTGGAGCCAGGATAAGCTTGCTGGTGACTCACTGTCTGGTCACGCAGCACAGAGGACATGCAGAGATCCGACGGCGATCAGGGGTCTGAGCACAAACACGCCTGTGGGAACCAAGCTCTCCCGGCCAGCCAGGCCTCGGGCTGCACAGAGCGGCCACGGGAGAGACGAGACCACCCAAAGCCAGAGACAGGCATGACCCTCCCGGCCTGGCCCTGGCAGGCCAGCAGCCACAGCCCATCGGGGACGGGGGTCTGAGGGTCGCCCCAGCTTCCTCCAGGCTGGGCCAGAGCCACCGATGCTCCAGTCATGCAGGCATCAGCCCCCACCCACAGGCCGCTGGCCCTGGCACCTGGGGTGGCAGTGTCTATAGCCCTACCTGTCCCCAGGGACACAAGAAGGGGCTCTCTGGAGAGGGGTGTGGGCAGAGAGGGGCAGGAGCAGGTCGAGAGGCCAGCTCTGCCCTGCTTGGCAGGAGATGGTGCAGGCTGGGCCAGGGGCTACGGACCCTGAAGGGCAGAGGTGATGGGGGGGCGGGGAGGAGAAGGCCTCCTGTGGGAGCGGCTCCTCGGGCTCACGACCAGAGACCCTGCCACGGCTGGAAGCAGGGTTGGGGGACGGAGGGGTTCCACTCTCGGGCTCCAAAAGAGGCTGTGGGTACCTGCTTTTCTGTCAGAAACGGCTGGGCACTGCTTTCGGGCCGCCCTTGAGTCCATGGGCCGTGGGTGACAGCAGGCAGGCTCCAGCAAACACTGTTTACAGGCCCGCTGGAGCGGGGATTCGGGCTGAGCCCTCCATCCACCTGGCTTTCTCTGGGCTCACTGCCTCACGTGACCCAGGTAAACGCGCCATGCAGGAGTCAGGCTCATGAAGGCCTACGTCCAGTGGGCAGGGGCCGCATTCAGGCGCTGGGCTCATTCTGGGGCCTCTCCGCCTTGGCCCCACTGACACCTGGGGACCCTGCTCACAGCACGACATTGAGCAGCATCTCTGATCTCCACCCACGACGTGCCAGCAGTCCCGTGACAACGGGACACTGCCGAATGCCGCCACCCGCACCCCGGTGGAGCCCCAGTCTCTGGCGGCCCAGGTGAGCTTTCCGGGGGGGCCGTGGGGGGATGGAAAAGCTCTGTGCTGCGCTGTCCCATCCAGTTTCCACTGAGCACTTGGGACGTGGCTCCTGAGGCCAGGGAACAGGAATTTTACTTTTATTTCATTTTAATTAATTTAAATAGCCATGCGTGGCTAGTGGCTGCCTCTATAGCAAACGTCCGTCAGAGCTAGAATCCCAGCCCGACCCTCCGTCCAGCCTTGCTGGCCCCCTGGCTGATGGTGGGAAGCTGCTGGCTGCATGGACCCATGTCTTATCCCCTCCTGGGGCGGGTCGGGGCTGCCTGCCTCCGCCCCATTAGTTAGGGGGTTTGTACGGAATACCTCGAACCTGAAAGGCTGCTCTTCCCGACTCCCATGGGTGCCTCTGTCCAGCCAGAGCTGAGCCCTGGGTGACCCTGGCATTTCCTAGAGTTTTCGTCGGCCAGTGGCTGGACATTGGCTGTGCAGGACGCAGACACTCGTGCGCACACATTCACACGGGCAAGCTGCATCTCATCCCGGGAGATCCCCCAGCTCCCACCACAGGCCCTCCCTGATGGCCTCCCTCCCCAGGCCAAGGTCATTTCTCCTTCAGATCTCAGGGGAAGGTCACCTCTCCAGCCTGGTGCTCGCTGGGTGCCTCCTGGAGCCCATCTGGTCCTTCACAGTCCTGGCTGGTTGGCAAATGCCGTTCGCTTTCCGAGGGCTCGTCCATCCTCACTCCCACAGAATTTTGCTAATTAAATGGGGGTAATCATTAGTGCTGGCCCCGCCCTCGGCGAACGGGCACAGGTCCTGGCTCGCCGCACAGCCTGGCCACCATCAACTGCTCTGCTGGCAAACGCTGCCACCGCTGCCTGCATGACGATTCATCTCCTAAGTAAACAGCAGCTATGTGAACAGCTAAGATTCACACGGCGATCGCTCGTCGGCCGGCCCCGCTCCGAACGGTGCCTGCGGTAACTCTGCTAACCTTCTCCACAGCCCTAGGGCTTCGGTGCTCCCGTCATCCCCGTTTCGCAGAGGAGGAGGCACAGAGAGGTTGAGTTACCAGCCCAAGCTGGCACAGCTGGTGGCACAGGAGGAATTGAAACTGGGGCACGTGACCCTGGAGCCCGGTCTCCCAGCCGCCGCCTTTGAAGGTGGTGGTGCCCGGGCATGAGATTGTCCACTGTCGCTTATGCACGCCCCGGGCATGAGATTGGCGTTCGTTCCTGGGGAGGGGCAAGTAGAACTCAGCTGTGAGCAGAAGTGGGGGACAAACCATGCCAGGCGGAAGGGGCAGCATTTGCAGAGGCGCTGGGCAGAGATACTAATGCACTCAGGAACTGAGGTCATTCCTGTGGGGTGGTGGGGATCTGCTAAACCCCAACATGGAATCTGGGTTCAGTCCCCAGGGGCTGGTCTGTTTTTTTTTTTTTTATTATTGAGTTAAAATTCACATAACATAAATTCACCTTTTTCACTATTTTGAAGTGTACAGCTCAGCAGCTTTATGCGCATTCGTGATGGTGCACGATCATCACCTGGTTCTGAAGCATTTGTCACCCCAGAAGAGGGGCCCCACGCCCACCAGCAGTCCCTCCCTGGCCCTCAGTTGAACTGCCACACTGTTTTCGAAGGTCTGCATTGTGCTGCTCTCCCTGCTGGGCTGTACCAGGGGTCCACTTGGCTGTTTGAAGCAGGCAGGGCCGGCAAGGAATGCGAGCTCTGGAACCATCCTTGTGGCCATGCTGTGGACAGCGGGCTGAGGATAGCGGCTGGGAGGCAGTGAGACCAGTTGGGATCAAGACCTTGGGAGTCACAGAAGCTTCTGCAGAGCTCACGTGTCATCGGTTACCCGTTGGCCGATTCTCCTGACCAATTTCGACAGTAAACAGGTGAAGCAGGCAGAAACCTGGGCCCTGGGGTGGTCCAGAAAGTCACAGCTTCTTTTCAAGAGAGGACACTGAGGCCAGCAATGAGCCCAGGGCAGCTAAGGGAGTGGCTGGTCCAGGGAGCGGGCTCCAGGCCCCTGTTTCCGGTTGGCACTGTGGCTTCCTCTGGTGGAGGGACCAAGCACTGTTCGATTCTGCCCACAAGGCTATTTTTACTAGTTTGTCAAAACCCACTCCCACTCCCTAAGACTGAGAAACTAGGCTGACCGGTGTACACGGACAGCCCACTACTCATCAGCTTGCCTTGTGGCCTCTCCTTCTGTTTCTGGGTCCTAGCACAGAATGCTCAGAACCTCCAAATGCTTTGAGGCAGGGGCTGCACTCCCGAGGCCGAGAGACCAGCCCTGCAGTGTGCCATGAGACAGCACTGTCTCAGACACCTTAGTCCTTCCTTCCCCAGAAATGGTCCTGACCTTAGCTTGGGGTGCTCCCGCCCACATCTCTCTGTAACCCCCGTGCACACAGCAGTGTGTTCACTAGATGTCCAGTAATATGTACCAACAGCCTATTTTAAGGTTCCTCCTTTTGGCTGGGGCAGGGGATAGGCCTAGAGAAGGCTCCACAGCAAAGTCCCTTCTGGGTTTGGGTGCCTTTCCCACCAGACTTCCTTCCCAGTGACTGGAGTCGAGTCCAGATCTTCCAAGCTGGCCATCAGCCTGAACTTTCACAAGGAAGAAATGTCAGACCCAACATCGATTAGACAGCAATGTGGGTTCGGTCTACGGGCCGTGGAGGGGCAGAGGCTCCGGCCTCACCCTTTGGAACCCCGGTAGCTTCACCTTTTTCACCCTTCAGGTCTGACATGAGACCTGAGAACGTGCCCTGCCTTCTGCCCTAGGTTAGAGTGTGTAGGACGTCAGGGGCAGCACCAGGTCGTGCCGCAAGCCCTGGACCAGCATAGGAGACTTCCCGGCCGGGAGCCGTGCACACCTGTGTCCCCTGTGGCCCGGACTGAGTCACTGCCTCCGGGCGCCTGGCCAGTGGGGAAGGCTGTCTTTCTGGAGAGTCCGAAGGCGCGGTTCCCGGGGCCTGGAGGGATGGGCTCGGCCCTCCTCCCCCTTCTGCAAAGGGTGCTGCCCGCGGCCCTGTTCCGGGTCTGTCGCCAGGAGCCGCTGGCTTCCCAGATCCCCGCGGAGGCAAACGTGGAGCATGCATGCGGGAAGGGGCCAGGTGGGCTCTCCTGTCCGCGGGGCGGCTGCGGGGAGTGGGGTCCAGGAGAGCAGGGGGCTGGCCCAGGCGTGGGGGCGTCTAGAGAACGCCCAGCCGCTC